ATTAATAGAGATATCAGGATTCATCTTCTCAATCTTATTAAATATACGGGGACAAACTGGAGTAGGCATAGGGATTCTATCTAAATTGACTATATCTAAGTATTGCTTATAATTTTTTTTTGTATATATTCGTTCAAGGTGTTCTATATGTCCATCTTTATAAGCAAAATAACAAGCTAATGCATCTTGAAGACAATTATCAGATGGCATATTTGTAACTGGATTAATTATTTTAGAATTATTAGAATTGATTGTACATTTGGTATTGGCAAGCTTCTTTGGTATTAAGATATATGATCCACCAGTTGTTCTTTGATATGTATAAGCTTCAATAGTTAGTATTTCAATCTTTACCAAATTCAATCCTAATCCTGATTTCATAAATGAGTCTATTTGATTATCTATTTCTAATATGGTTAAATCTATATGTTTATTGATATCTTCTTCTGTAAGAATAACACATATAAGGCTTCTATGATAACAAATCATATATGTTGGAATTTTAGGTTTGCCTTTTCCTTTGCTAATATGTCCATAATATATACATTGAGCAACTAATACGGTTTTTATTTGATCTTTTTTCTGCAATTCAACTTTAAGTACCCTTGTAATTTGCTCTCTTGTATTTGCTATAAGTTGAGGCATATATGGAACTTCTAAATATTTATTTGGGTTCTCGACATAACAATTAAATCTATATTTTATATTTTTGGGAGATGGAATAATTGCTTGCCATAAACTCATTGCTGTTAAGTTCTGATGAGGTCTTAATAGATCAGGAGCAAACCTAGATTCACATTCTTTAAATATTAACTCTTTGTTTGTTAGTTTATAGTTTTGTTATATTGGTTTACCACCAAAATTACTCTCTATTTTTATAATATTTCTTTTTGGATAGTCATAGAGCAATGATCCACCTAATTCAGGCCATTTTTTGTTAGTATTTGTATTATATTTATCTTCCATATTATCAAACCATTCTGTATCATTTTGAGGAAGATTCGAAGAAACATTGTCTGAGCTTTGAATAGGTAATAGTAAATTATCTAATTGGATTAAATCACCTACTGAAACATGGGTTTGTATCAAAATTTGATCTGTAGCTGAATTTTGTTGTAATGGTGTCTGCAGAGCAGAAGATGCTTTGCATCCTGGAGCTACAATAGGATTTTGGGTATTACTAGATTTGCATGAAATTTACGATTTAAGTGATAATCTCGATTTCAAGTCTTTTTGAAATTATTTTTTCCACACCTAGGACATGGAGGTATCATTTTGTATATACATGCTGGTATTCCCTTATTTGTATTAATATACCAGATCTTTTGTTTAAATTAAAATTATTCATATTTATATATCATGATAGGTGAATATACTTGTGATTATTTACTCAGAACTGGAGTTATTTGTGGATGTACTTGTTGTTGGCCTGAAGGATGCCATGAATATTGGAAGGCTAGAAAGCGTTTTCCTTGCAAAGTTTGTAGTAAACCGACTAGCTCTAAATCTGGCCTTTGTAGAAAGCATGCTAATGGATATTATATAACTCAGTATATTAATAGACTTCAGAAAAAGGCTCAAGAGCTTCTTCTTTATAAAAATTAATATGATTAGATTAGTTGGCAATGCGATCAATTTTTTATCATCACTCTAATATATATGAATAACGACATGATCAAATTTTTATCATCTTCTAGCTATATAAAATTTTTTACCAAGCTATATATATAAAAGTGCTATAAAATATAGCAGAATTAAAATGATTTTTAAACATAATGTCATATAGATGTGTGAAAAAAGTGTCCCAGAACTCCCAAAATTGGCCTACTTGAAATACTTTAATGATTTAGATATATATAGTAATGAAGATTTAGATTCACATTATCCTAAAAAACCTTTTCAAAAAACAAACCAATCCGCTAGAATGGATAGAATAGAATCAAAAGTAGACGAAATTGGACAAATAACATCTCAATTTGGAAAAATGGTACTTGAAAATCAATCCAAAAAAATAGTAGCCAAATCAAATCGAACACAACAATATTATCCCTTTCAACCAATAAATTCTAGCGTTTTAGCTAATGAGGAAGGTAATGAGGATGGATATGATGAAGAAAAAGATATATGGCTTGATTCATCAGAAAAAAAAAACGAATATTACTAGTAACATATAATGAATTATTTCCAAAGCTTTCACCGGTAATGCGAAAAATATGTCAGTCTCATACAGTTCAGAAGGAAGAATCAGATGAGTGGTTTTCATCTCTACAATACCTGAATGCTAGTATAAACGATTTATCTATTTCTGAATCTTTTTTAGATAATGAAAGTGAATTTGAGGCCTTAAATGATGCAACAATTAATGCTCTCGGATGGAAAGCTGACAAGCCATCTGACTTCGATATAAAAGGTAACTCTAAACATATTACCGAATCGTTGGGGGTGGTTTATGAATATGCTAGTCAGTATAAAGGATAAGGATGGTAAAACTGTTACAGCTACTGGAAATTTTACACGTATTGATAATAGTGAACCTGAACCAATTTTATATTTAGGTATGACATAGATTCAAAAAGTTCAAGGTATTTTTGATCCAAATAAAAACCAATTCCGAATGAAATTACATGGTAAGTCTTATATTATTCCAATATTCAGCAAGAGCCCATCTAGCTCAACTAATAAGGAAGACTTAAAAAAAAATGCGATGAACTTGAAAAGCGACTCATAAAGACTGAAGAATAGCTTGATATGGCTTTAAAAGCAGGTAAAGCTCTTGCAGAAAGATATTCTTAGCTTACTGAGACAAAGATGGGAGCATAGGAGCTAATCTTTCGGTGTCTTTTATTAATTTTTCAAGATCGTTTTTCCTTCTAGATATATTATTGCTTTGCAGGCCTGTAGGGGGCATCTCTTTGAGACATGGGACTTTGTTCCTATTAGAAGAGACACTTTTTTTTACTGCATGTGAGGAATTAGAATTTTGAGTAAGCTGAGCTTCGAGTCTTTGACTTGTCTTTGGTCGTGTTATCTCTGCTGATTTATCTAGTGAAACTTTAGAGTAAATCATATCATTTGTATTAGATGAATTATTGTCAGAGGTAGACACATCATGGCTGGATATACTAGACTGTACTTGTACACT